GTATTACTTGTGTAATCCACACTAAGGACCAAAAGATTTTGTGCAGCACATCATGTAGAGAATCAAAATCTTACCTTCTTTGGAACACTACTGATTGACATTTGTCGATCTAATAATTTCCTTGCTGCTGTTGCACTTTCTGGTGTCCCATAACTAACACGACGTCCTTCATTTTCAAATTGATCAATAGATAACTGTCTAACCATTCCACCCAAGGCGCCACCAGTTTCTGCAGCAACCACCACCTAATAAAAAGTGCCAGAACCATTATAAACCAAGAATGTATAAGTGGTAAAACTCTGGGGCAAGACATTCTAGTGAATGAAGAGCATGATGTTAAAAATATATTGCAAGCTTTATATTTGATTCAAGACAATAAGTGTGACACTCACGGCTCTATGATGAAGACGGATCCCTGCAGGAGTAACACCGACTGATCCCATAGAATCTGGCTTGATTAGCGAAGATGTAGGTGTCCCACTAGGCGTAGCCTCTGCACCACAATCCCTATCTGGGAGTTCAACTTCACCATTGACCTGCCGTGCCTTGGCAGCAGCCAACGTAGCACTGATCGCCTCAGCTTCTGCTGCTGATGCTTCAACGAGATACTCCACACCCTTGCTCGTTCTCCTACAAAGTTGTGTTGGATTGTCGTCACTAATACATCACTGTGTTAACGACACAGCACAAAATAAATCAAATATTTTTAAGGATTTTGGCTAACCGAGTTCCTGGAAGTATTGCATTTTCAGAGCTTATATCAGTATACATATCACCATTTACAGGAGGTGCAACAGGGCTTCCCAGCACAACAGCACCATCAGCGGCTGAACCAGATAACTCCCTGTTCCTTTCATCTGAAAAACCATACCTTCCAGGTAACCGACCTGGTGGCGAATTTGTTGCCGCAGCTGCAGCAGCATGAGACGCAGCATATGTTGTTTCCGCCGCCGCAAGATCTTCAGCAACCAATAGGTCATCGAGTAACACCCCTAAAGTGTCAACAAACTAGTTAACTTGTTGTGATCCCATCTTTTGAAATTAAATAGTTGCAAGCAGATTACAAGATGGGGGAAACTAACTTTTGGAGAAATACAAAACCAAAAGCATCTTTTACAATAAATAATTCTGATATAATCTCTCAAATTTGAACAAAAAACAATAGCTATTTAAGAAAGTGTAATTCTACAGTGTCACAAACATGGTCATACGATGTATATTATGCCACAGTTACAGAACTATCCAATCATAGAAATCGGTTCATTCTCATGGAGATGCACATGAATTTTGAAATCTAAATGGTGGTCAGTATCAGAACATCATTAGAAACATTGACATAAGCTTTTCTCCTTACCTCCACGTAAACCGCCATAGATAAATATCAAATCACCGACGGCCGCAGCAGCATGCCTACAACGCCTAGTCAGTTCAACAGAAGCATCACCACCAGCTGCGTCGGCACTATACCTGCCAGTTCTAGGGCTAGTAACTACTGATTTCGTATCACACCATACACCTGCTGCAGTATCCAATACTGGACAAAGACAATAGATGATATAATCAGAGAACTGTATATCCACTCAATGTAGATGCACTCACTGCACATTTTTTTTAAAAACCAATACAGCTCTCGTCTATAAACGAGACACATTTCAACAATGGCTAAAATGCTTCAGTGATAATTTTATGGCTAAAAACACCTCGATGGGCAGAAAATAACAGCAAATGCCCCTTTACAATTATACATGAATCAACAATAGCCTACAGAACACTAAATATGGTGCACCTATTATCAAGGAAACATAAGTATTTCCTCAATGACCATCCCAACAGCACAAACATCAGATCAGATATTCAGATTGCTTCTGTTTATTGGCTAACCTGCAACACTGGATGAGTCTTCAACCATGCGTCCACCACCAAGTGCCCCACCGGACACATGAAGTCTTGCATTTACAAAGACCTAAATAATCCATCAAACAGTTTAATTATTCTGACGAGACCAGATAAAAGAAACAAAGAGGAAGAAGTATCCCATACTGCTGCATGCTGATATCTAGCAGATGGTGAGACACCAGGGGCTATGGCCCATTCCCAACGTCCATCTCTGTGCTTAGCAAGTCCATATGCACTGGCCAGAGGCTATCCATCAAATGTTGAAAAAAAAACAAAATTTAGCCCCTCGATCAAGCATTCAAGGCATTGAGCATAATTGTAAGGAAACTCTTCCACTTACCACACTATTTGCATCCCTTCCACCACAAAGGAGAAGAAGACCATCGGAACGCGCACTTGCAGTTGCATACCTAGATACAACGTACAAATAGCAAAAACAATATTACTCCCGCGCCAAGTACATAATCATAGAAGAGTATACTCAAACTTACATGCAGGGCGGTGGACCTTCCCCTTCTGGTTCCAGCTTACGCCATTCATAAGGCTTGGCGGCAGTATCCAACGCCCATACATCAGCGAGTGGACGTTTTCCTAATAGTTTATTAAAAGGAGTTCAGAAACTAGGAGCTCTAAGGATAATATGAGGCTTTCATATAAAATACTGAGAATAAGCCAGCATGGAAAATTGCATACCATCATTTCCACCAATTGCCATGAGATACCTTTGTCCCACAAGTGCCATGACATGTCCATAACGTGGTCCTGGTCCAGGACCCTGAACAACAACCCTGGATTGAGGACAGTCTATATCAAGACACAAACAAGTAAATGAACTTTAAACCGAGATAGCCACTAGTAGCGGGTTTATTTTCAAACCTGTGCCATCGTGGCCGTTGTTGCGTGAGATCAAGAACGTGAAGGTCTTCGGCTGATAAACCAGCAGGACCAATTCCACCCTGCACCAGAGGGAGAATTCAGAAGCACTTAAGTTGAAAGCTGATTGAAAATGATCATCTTGAATTGATAAGCGTACATCATACACATAATATATTAGCATTGTTTCTCCCTACCTGTATAACTACCATAGTCCCGACTGCAGTTGCAACATGAGCAGCCCTTGGGGTTGGTGGTTCTCCGAATGGTGTAAGCCTGCAGCCTCATTTCATCAAATTAACTGGTATCCACACTTTTAAAATAAGCAGGATCTCATGCAGTTTTCATACTTAGGATATGTTGATTAACAACCAACAAAAAATTCACATTTTATGCTTACCTAGTCCACTTATTAGAAAGGACATCATAACAATGAACATCGGCAGTTGCTCCAGCCAGCCCTGCACAGCGAAGAACATCCTAATTATTTAACACAACCAGGCAAGTCTAGGAACCTCAAAAAACAACAAGAGCTAGAACATAATGGAATTATAGATCCAAGATCGAGGTATTGCTAATAATGTTCCACAGCCAATGCTATGTTCCAGGTACTACACCAAGTTATTGCCTCTGCCACATGAAAAAGGTTGCAAAGCAATAAAAGTTGAGAAAACACTTTCAACCATAAACTTAGCTTGATATTAACAGGACAACTAAGAAAATGAAGAAATGAATTCTGACAAGTGGCAACTTAAACTTTATACATGACAAGATAGATAACGAGTAAACATTTTCGATCATTCAGAAGCGAGCCTTCAATTCAAGGAAGGCTAACTAAAACTTCCCCGATAGGCGTGAATAGTGACAGAATTAGGCCAAAGGTAACACAAAATTAGTAAGAAGTAAGGCAAAGGACAAGGCAAACGTACGGATGCCGGCACTTCCAGCTGCTGAAGTTGGAGTTCCGGTGCCCCCAGAGTTACCCTCAAGGGCCGTGGCACCACCAAATAATACAAGACGAGGACCAATGTAACCAGGCGTTCCCTCCTCACCAACGGCCGGCACCGCCGTCAACGTGTGGCCACACCTAGGGCCAGGCCCGTCTTCCTTTTTATCCATCAAAGCATCCACCACCGAATAGTTTGGCGCACACCTCGGACCAACAGCTTGCGCCGGCTGCTCTTGATTCACAGCTGCGGCCGCTGGCTGTTGGGAAGTCGTCGGGTCAGGGCAAGAAAGCGGTGGCACCGATCCGCCTTCTGGAGGTGATTGGTCTTGAGGCGCCTCCCTATCCATAGGCAACGGAGATTGCCCTCCATCATGGTTCAGAGACTCCCGATCCTGATCGTTCTCAGGCACCATAGACGAATCCTCATCCATATTATGATCAATCGAAAGCTTCAAAAGGTAAACCTAACTTAGACCGATCCAGCTAAAATTAGCACAAAACTGCATCTCTGATCAACATCTCTCTGTTCAGTCTACGCATCCGGAGAAATTCCGGCGTAAAATCGAAACCCTAGCTTCCCCGGTGAGATCGACGAGCTTGTTTAGAAAAGGAAACAGTTATTTTCCTGGAAAATCAAAGAGAAGCAGACATTCGCAGAATTTGGAAAAACGAAATTCGTCCCACCTTTCTTTTTTTTTTGGTTTAATCAAGTTACTCTCTCTCTCCTCTCTCTATAGTATAATATAAAGCCTAATTAGTAATCAGAATTAACCCTGGAGCCTGGAGGAGACGCGAAAGGAAGGAGGGAAGAGAAAAAGAGATACCAACTCAACTCCAAATATACCAAGCCTCGACTCTATATATGTATGTATGTATCGACGCCTTATATACTGGATATGGAAAGAGAAAAAGTTTTTTTTTTTGCGGTAAAAATATAACCTAAGCTCAATTAGTTTTTAATTCTCGATATAAAAGACTTTAAATAATCATTTTGGTGATGACATAAGCAAATTATTTATTTTTGTTCATTGAAATGTTTATCGAAATGTCAAATGGAAAATGTCAGAATTCTTTTTTTAAAATACTCAAAATAGAAATAATTGGAGTTCCATGAAAACTCTATTTATAGGACTCCTTGTGGCAGTCATATTCTCAAATACAAAACACAATGAGCATCTGTAAGTGGCAATTTCTTTTCAATCAGATTTCAGTTGTCACTCCATCCTTTTCTCTTCTTCCTCAAATGCAAAGACTAGAAGAACATGCAAACAAGAACAAACAGTTGACTCGAAAACCGCGACATGTTTATTGTTTTTGTTTTAAAGAAATCCGCGAAATGTTCAACTGTTGGGATATAACAAACAAAAAAAAACAACGTAAGAACCTTAGGTTTGCCAATCCACTATCTGTATCACATAAACTTTTGGGAAATCTTTTGCTCGGATGATGATTACAATATGATGATCATCGCATCATGAGAGGCCCTGTGTTAGCCGGTTTCTGGAAAACTCGAACCAAAGGCATTCCATCTCCATCCTCTGTGTTTTGAACCCTCCAATTCCGATCCTTTTTCCTCTGCGGCTTTTTGTGCTGTTTATGTGAAGCCGTTTGCTTCTTCACTGTCACTTTCTTTGAAGACGCAAGCCCGTTTGCAAGATCAAAAGAGCTCAAATCATCTAGAACCTCACCAATACCAGGAGCTTGCTCACTCTCCGTCTCATCTCCTACGTCAGAGTCTTCGGAATCAGAGCCTTCTACAGCTCCGGTGCCTTGACTTTCATCTATCTTCGATTCCTCACCTAGGCTCATTCCAGGTGGCATTGCAAAATGTGGAAGCTTACCTCCAATGTAATCTTTTAGAATCAGCCTCGCTGCTTTCGTTTCATCAGGTAGTCCACTAGAGGCAACGTAGCCACGAGAAGCACAGTAAGCTCTCAAAAGCTCTGCAGCAAGAGGCGGACGCGACTGACGCTCATAAGGTTTGGGTTTAGGAAGAGAAATGTTGTAGACACTCTCGATGACATGGCGTGGGACTTTGTCAGCCACCACCTGGATAGCTTCACGGTGCTCTGTCATCCTATCAATCGGAAGTACACCACTAGCAATCATCTCATATCTCGAGCTTGAGAACGAAGGGAAGACTAAACCAGGACAATCGCATAGCATAAGCTCATCAGAGATGATCAAAGTCTGGAAATGCTTTGTCTTTCCTGGTGTAGAGGTGACACCGGTTCGCTTCTGACCCACCAATGCGTTGATCGTAGAACTCTTTCCCACATTTGGGTACCCAACAAAACCAACCACAGCATTCTCACGTTGAGATTCACTAGAATTCCTCACTTTGACAATCTCTTGAGCCTCATATTGTAAACGGCTCAACAGCTCGTCCCTGCCATATATCACGACTTCTGGATCATCTGTCTTCTGAAAGTTATCCGGTTTTCTCCATGGCTCTTTCAAGACTTTACCTTCTAGGGCAGCTGTAGCAGCTATGGCTGACCAGAAGACAAACAGAATGTTGTTTAGGCGGAAATATTCTGCCCATTTCTCCCTACAGATATGTTAGAAAGCAAAAAAATTCCATTAGAAGACCAAAAAAAAGGGTTGGAGGCAAAGTAGCAAGGGAAAAGAAGCTTACCTGACATAAGGAGGCAAAAGATCTGCCTTGTTAACTAGAAGCATTATTTTCTTATGCTCATCGATTTCTCGAGCATATGCCTGTGTCAGGTAGGTCGAATCTTTTAAGTAAATGATATCGATCAGGAATACGGTGTCAAGTTGGAGTTTGAAGTTAAAAAAGAATGCACAGTACCTCGAGATCAGGGCAACGGTAAAACAATGGATCTCTAGCATCAACTACCATAACAATCTGAAATAAAGTATAAATAACCAATCAATTGCAGAGAATTGAGCTTAATAAGAGGGTTAGTACAACTTGCCAGAGACTTACCAAATCACTACGTTCAAGAACTCGCCAAAGCTGTCTCCAGATGTCGAGGTTCTTCTCGAATGGAGTCAACACAAGCTTTTCATTTTCCTCGAGCCTACACCCAAAATACAGGAGAACAAGTAAGCACGTATAACAAAATTAAAGCATCGAAGTTCACCATTTGAGAAAACAATGTGACAGAAACTGACTAAATTGTCCCATCTGCTATCACCAACAAACATTTCAGTGACAGATATTGATTTGTATATCGGTAAACACACTGAAGAAGGAAAACAATGAGAAAGGGTCATTAAAATGGGGTAGAAAAAGAAAAGAAAAAAAAGCTAACCTCACAAGCATTCGGCGCCAACTCAGAAAAGCTTGTTTTTCATTAGCATCAAGTTCTTCCACTGACATTTCGGGTGTCCAAGGAGGTCTGGAGATGAAGAACGGAGCAGAAAAAAAAACGATGCTCAGTCTCAGAGCTATGAAAAAAGGGAAAAATAAACTTAAAAGAGAATAAAACCACGTGCCTTCGGGGCACTTGAAGACTACTGGCGTGTAAAGCCTCTTCTATCTTCTGCTGCTCTCTCCATTCTTCAGCAGCTACAGTACTTGAGCTGGAATTTGTGTCTCTGTGAATTAGAGAAACAGCTAGTGAGCACATATCAGATGTAATTGTTCTCCATTCTTCATTATTAGCTAAACAATAAGTTGAACATCTTATATGAAAACCCACTGGTTGATTCTGGTCACCAAAATCTCAACAAACAGAGCTCAAAGAATAATGATTGCAACGTGCGCTAAAATTTCTTATTACAATCAAATGACCCAAAAGAGAGGAATTTGAAGCTTACAGATTGATGGGCAAAGGTGTGGTGTTGCTGTGGTTAATGGTGAAAAGACGCTCTGCCTCCTCAGCCTGCTCGATGATGGCGTCGATGTCGCTGACCTCGGTGACGGATTCGAGAACCTTCTTCTGGAGATTCTTGTAGTACTTGCCTTTGTCTTTGGATTCTTGAATCATATGGTTGTGGTGCTTCACCAGGGATCGCCCTAACGTCGTCTTTTCGGTCTTCCCCATCTCTCTCTCTCTCAATAAACCCTAAGAATCTAAACCCTTCGATATGGATTCAACGGCGCTTTTGTTATGTTATGTTAACCCTAAGAAAACGTCAGCCGCCGTCCGCACTGGCTGCACGGTGAAGCTGAATTCACGAGTTTTTTTTTTTACGATTTTATATAAAAATTGTGATTCCAAGAAAGAAAAAAACAGAGAGGGTAAAGTGGGTAAAGAAGGCTTAGGAACAAACTAATTTACTTGTCAAACAGTTTCAAAAAGTTCCGACCGGAACCTCCCCGGCAAATCCTTCCGATGGAACATCCTCGTCCACTGTCGTTCGTCTTGCCAAATCCGTCCGACCATTCCGGTATAGCGTTAGGCCTTCTTGACGGTAACTTTGAGGACCTCGGAGATCTCCTCCTCCGTTCTTCAAATCTAACGTCTCGTCTAAAACACGACTCTTCTCATCTAAACGACCGTCTTCTCCATCTCCGGACAAATCTGACCAAACTCGCCGTTTCCTGGATCTCCACCTCGCTTTCCGCTAAAAATTCACTCGATGATCTGAGATTCAACCTCGAAAGCCTGAGCCTTGCTACATCTCTCCGTCAGTGACCCAACCCTCGTGTTTTATTCGGTGATGAAGCTATTAGTTTTGTCTGATTGTCTCCGATTTCATTTGTAGCTGAGAGTCGTACGGATTCTGTCGGAGAGCAAACGAATCGGGAGTTACAGCAACTTGTTGATGAATTGTGTCGAATTCAGAACACGCGCAGATATTTCGGTGAGTTGGGCTCTCCATTCTTTCCGTGTTCATCTTCTTTCTCCTTGGGACTCTTTGAGTAGTCTTGTTTGCTTCTAGTGTAACAGTTTCAAGAGCTAAGCTCATAAAAATATTCTATTTTTCAGTGACTGCCTTAAAGTTGGAAAGTCTGGTAGGAGATCTTGAAGATTCAGTGTTTCATCCTATGAGTAACAACAGAGGAAGTATGCTTCAAGTAAAGCTCTCTTTTTTTAGTTCCACAAGTAAAGTATAATGAATCGTGGCTGGTACATATGAAGAAAGATTTAATACTTTTGTCCTTAGATGCAGGATCTTGCATTCAAGCAAGAGAGGTTCAACCATGCCATTAAGACCATGAATGAAATTGAAGAAATACTTGGTGATGTCACAAGGCATCACCCACAGTGGCGCCGCCTTGTAGATTCTGTTGATGGTAGAGTAGATAAATGTTTGTCCACTCTACGCCCACAAATTTTCGCAGAGCACCGAGCTTTTCTCTCATCTCTTGGATGGCCACCAAAGCTGGCAACAACGAAAATCGAGCATGGAGACGTTGCTAATATCCCGAATCCTCTACTATTGGTGCAAGGAGATAAAAAGGAATCTTATTCCCAAAGCTTTCTACTCCTCTGTGGTTTACAGCAACTCAATACCATGAAGGAAAAACGGAAAAAGCTTAATAAAATGCCCAAAGAATATAAGAATGTTGGACTTTGGGCAACCGATGAACTGGTAACACCTGTTGCATCTCGGATGGAGTATCATTTCATGAAATGGGCTGAACAACCAGAGTTTATCTTTGCGCTGGTCTATAAAGTTACAAATGACTTCGCTGATGGGGTGGACGATTTCTTACAGCCTTTGATTGACAGAGCTATGTTAGTAAGCTGTAGTGCTAAAGAAGCTTGGGTTTCAGCTATGGTCCAGATGCTATCCTGTTTCTTAGAGAAAAAGGTTTTTCCTAGGCTTATTGAAATGTTCAAGGAGAGGCACATGAAATCTGAAGCTATTTCATCGTGGTTCCATCTGGTCGATCAGATGGTTACATTTGATAAACAGATGCAGTCATGTGTAAATTCAGACACTTGTCTTTCTTATGAAGGCTCTTCGATAGCGTTTTCTCAAGGTATGTCAGTAATGGGGCTATTTTGTAAGAAACCCGAGTGGCTCAAGACCTGGGGGAAGATTGAGTTTAAGGATGCTTATAGAAAACTTAAAGAGGACATCAAGAATGAGAAAGCTTGGGTAGTTGATTGTCAGGGAACTAGACTTGGTAATGAATCCAACTCACGGTCTGCAAAGTATGTTCTATCTACAAGAGAAGATTATAAAGCGCCATTTGTTGCAGACTCTTTTCTTAGCAGGACTTGGACGTTGATAGACCATGGTCTATCTCTACCAGCCATTCTGCCGAGGATCCAATTTGTAAGAGCTACTGCCACTAAATTTCTCTGGTATATATTCAAAATCCTGTTACTGGAGTTCAAGAAGACTGATCTCTCCCAGTATTGTTCTTTAGAAGATACACTGATACAAGCCTGTGGACCGATTAATGCTGCTCGGTATCTTGAATCGAAACTACGTGAATGGAGTGATGACTTGGCTTTTGTAGAGATGTGGGCTGCCGAAACCAGTGTCGAAGTTGGTAGAGAACCTGCAGTTTCCTGCCAAGGCTGCTTTTTTGGGGAAGAACTGAGAAGCCTTGTTGATTTGGAAACAAATTGGCTTATGGATATAATTACAGTTTGTCTCCACCAATTCGACAATCTCTGCAGCGACCAGTTCAACAACAATGCGGATTCATGGGAGGAGGAGGAGGTCGTTACCGGTTCCAGCAATTTAACAGTGTCCCAGGGTGTCGCAGAAGCACTGGACAGTTTAAGAAGGCATCTTTGTGTTCTTCAGCTAAACATGAACCCAAAAGACTTCTTGGACTTGTGGAGGAATCTCGCGGAAGGGCTTGACCATTATGTTTCTTGTAAATTTTTCTCAGGAGAAACTGTTTTACTGAGAAAAAGGTTTGAGGTCGATGCAGAGGCACTTCTCATGGTTTTTCAACCTTACTGTGTTCGTCCTGGTGCATTTTTCCCTCGTGTGAGAGAAATTCTTAGGCTGTTGAGGATGCACGAGGAAGAGAAGGCACGACTGAGAGGAGCTCTAAGTCGTAATGGAAGCGATTGTTTAAGTTTGTTTGGTATCTCTAACTTGTCTCGTCAACTTGTAGAACAATTTTTGTAGGTGTTACTAGTCATGAGTGCCATTTTGTAAAACAGTAAAAAGTTGTATATATCACGACTCAGCGATTATCTTCTCAACAAAAGTAAATCTGTTAAAACCAAAAGAATGGGAAGAGATGATCATGTACTGATATTTCTCTTGAGGGAAAATCTACAGAATGAAAAGTCCAAGTAAAGAATCAAGAGAACTCTTGGATCAAGGGCTCGTAGAACAATCTATATGCGTCCATGACTTCTAAATACCACATGGCTTCACGATCTGGGCTTCCCGACAGGTCAACCATCTTATGAACCTGGATTCAGATAAAAACAATTAACAAAGACGGTTTCAGTTATAGAGCACAAAATCTTAGCATTGCATGTAAATGCTGATGGATGTTGAATCTGATGATACTCTCACTTCAAAACTAACATCACAAGAGAAGATGAATCTTAATCACTATTTGTGGAATTAGTGACCATTAATTTCCTAAGGAAGCATCATCAGTTGCAGAAACCAATTTTTCTAAAAGTCAATCTCTAGTCAAACTAAAACCACAACAAAGAATCACATTTGAGAGGAAGCATATCAAAGACGTGAAAGTTGCATATTATCATATGATGAAACAGAGGGAGAAATAAACCTTAAGCAGAGGTATCTCTCCCGTACGGATTTGGAATACACCAACAACCATCAAGTACATTCCTGAGCAAATAGATTATTCTTGATACGAACAATAGTCACTAATCCAAAAACCAAAAGCGAAATGAAAATGGTACCGAAACCTGATTTCCATTGACGATGGGCAAAGTCGCTGCAGAGGCCGAGCTCGACAAGACCGGTCCCGTCATCTAAGACCATACGGCCATCGGAGATGACCTGATCGAATACTAAAACGCCCTACAATACAAGAATCGATGTCGTCGAAACAATTTAGAGATGAGAAAAGTGAGACAATTAAGAGTATGATAGATCGGAACCTGTAACCAAGCACGTTGAAAGAGTACACCGCCTAGGGCGGTGGCGTTCTGCGAAGACGTCGGTTTAGCGTCCCGGAGCTGGGAGATAAGCATCTTCACCGCCGCTAAGCTGTAATCCATTTCCCCGGCGAGCACTCCTCTCGATCCGAAATAATAATATACGCCGGAACTTGATAACGGAATGCGAATCGCGATCAATAATTTCGAACCGGAATTTTTATTGGTTTATACATTAATTGACAATAAAATCACATTTATCAATATATTATTTATTATTATTCTTTAATTTTTAAATACTAAGTGTTACCTATTATTAAATTTTTACATAACGATCTGATTTAGAAGTTAATTTTAGGGAGGCTTAGTGGAAATTGGATTAGCTAGTTGATTTCAAAAATGTAGAAATTTGTTTATTAACACGTTGCATAGAGTTTGTGTACTTAAAATGTGATTGTTTTTCTTTTGATTCTAATGCTTGTCTATGACTATATAAGTATATCACAGTCATACTAAAATATTTTTGTTTTGGAACTTTGTCATACTAAAATCATATAAGAATGGTATAGATTTGTACACTTTTAATGATAAATAAATAAATAATTTAGATTAAACAAATTTAGAGAGAAATGGAAAAGAAAATCTGGATCAATCTTATCCAAGATGTAGACCCACAATATCTAAGAAAATAGTGAGGTGTCACAAAGCTATTGATTGATAACACATCCTCGAAATCTCTACCTTCGTCCACAAAAATCAGTCTATTTCTTGTTAATATTGAGTTCGTATCTAGTTAAAAAAAAAAAAAAAAGGTAATCGGTTTGGGAGAAAGAAGCAAAGGAGAAAAATGGCAGCAACATTTACAACCCCATCGACGGTGATAGGCCTCGGAGGATCATCTGTTTCTCCCAGACCCTTCTCTTCATGTAGTTTCTCTCTCTCTTTCTCTCTCTTTTTTTTTTCTTTTGATCATCTGAATAATTGAATTAAACATATAATATGTCGATAGTAATCTCTGGTGATGTTTTTAGCTTTCTTAAAACCAACATTAAGAGCAAAGAACCCTCTGAGACTCGCCGGGGCATCGGGGGGAAGATTCACATGGTGAGTTACTCTTTATTTTCTTCCTCATAATCAATGCTAAACTTATATTAGTAACAAGAATCAGTGTTTTTTTAATTTTAAAAAGCACATACATAATTTAGTGTTTTGTTTAAGAATAAAAATGTATAGTTATGTAACTTAATTATAAGAAAAAAATCATAATAATAATTATTTATTGTTGTGAAATTTGAAAAAGCTTTGAGAGGAACTGGTTGAGGAGAGATCTGAACGTGGTGGGATTTGGGTTGATCGGATGGCTAGCTCCGTCGAGCATTCCGGCGATAAACGGGAAGAGTCTGACGGGTTTATTCTTCGACAGCATTGGAACTGAGCTCGCTCATTTCCCAACTCCTCCAGCTCTCACTTCACAGTTCTGGTTGTGGTTGGTTACGTGGCACTTGGGCCTCTTCCTCTGCCTCACCTTCGGACAAATCGGATTTAAGGGCAGGACTGAGGATTACTTCCAAAAATAATTCATGCCTCTACTATATCATTTGTACTATATCTCACTCTGTCTTTGTCTCTCTCCTTTGCAGCGTTCTCTGTGTAGTACCATTACTCAAAACAAAGCTTTCTAATTTCTTTGGTATTTGATGTTTCGTTCAATATCGATAAAAGTGTTTCTTCATGATCTTGATTCTAAGAATGTCGCAAGTCTTAAGTTTACATAAAGTAGAATAAGTTGGAGTTTCGTTTTCCATCAGCCATGATGAGTGGAATTGGATCAAAGCTTCCACATGATTCCACCTTTTAAGAATAAGTGGATACGATACGGCATTGATTGTATTTTCCAGTAATTTACAAACAAAAGTAATTTGAAGCATACAAAGATGTGTCTACAAACCCTGATGATCTCGAAGCTTTAAAAATTCGAGAGAGAGAGAGATCGAGAGAGAGAGAGAGAGAGAGAGAGAGAGAGAGAGTCCGTTGGCTAGAAGAAATGTTGACAATAGAATTAATGAAAAGTTGGTCCATGAGTTAAAAACAAGGGAGCAGTGCAAGTATCTTATAAATTCCTTTTAGAGGTTCCGACAACACTTTGTTCAAAGGTATTAAAGAGAACAAAACTACGTTTTAACTACACAATCCTAAATCAAACCGCCACAGTACTGTTCCACACATCGACGCCGACCCAGCGCAGCTTCATGGTTGATGCGCATTTTGTAAAGCTCGGGTCACCATGTCGATGAATTCATTCTCCTGTCATAAAAGCAACTCGTTAGGTTTGGGCAGCAGCTCAAGTCAAAGTAATGTGGTAAAGGACAAACCTGAACCAGCTTTAAAAGGGCTTCTTTGACTTTCTCTCTGTTGATAACCGGGACACTGGGTGCAGGAGCGAGTGATGCTGGTGGCGTTGGTGGTGGGAAAGGCTGGAGCAGCGGAGTACCATACTGGCGCTGCTGGTGAGTCGCATTATTAGGGTTCAAAGGAGGAGCAGTGGGGATAGAAGATGAACCAGGAATGAAGTGTGGTTGTGCCACCATCCGTGGGGGCCCAAAGAAAGAGGATGGCTTCACCAAATCCGTGTGAACGTTGGAGTTGCTGTTGATAAGATCCGGATTGTTGTCAAAGAGAGGCATCAGAGGAGAGGAGGATTGTAGAAGCGGTGGTGATTTAATCTGTGGAGGTGCAACTGCCGCTGCAGAAGGGGTCATGGTGGGTTGGTGAGGTTGTAGAGGAATTGCTGATGATTGGTATGGTGGTCCACTTGCCCCACTCAAAGTGTTCCCAAGATTCATCGCTGACTGTAGTCAAGCCAACAACATTATCGATTAATTCAGGCTTACAAGTTTGAGGAGCTGAAGTAAGTAAATCGATGATTTGTGCCCAGAATCCAAGTTGGACCGATTTACTAAGTTAAAGATAATTCAAGACTCTCGAACAAATTAATGATGTCATGATGATGAAGGCGATAGTGTGAGTGAGTAACAAAAGCTTTAGAGACTTACGCTGTAGAAGTTGATGAAAGCAGGGTCATCAGGGGCATCCCTAGCAGTTGAAGATGGTTCAAGAGGACCATCCATAACTGCCATTGTAGGCACAGCTTCCAATTCCTCAAACTCACTGCAGAACATAGAAAAATCCAACTCTATTTTAACACATACGAAAAAATAGCAGCTGAAAAAGTGATGTAGATTTTCGCCGCAAGTACGACACATCCTATAAAACAACTAATGTCGCAATGTCTAAATCTAAACATGGAATATCTTACCTTTTTGAAGATGACGCTGGCTTCTGGTTTACCTTTTGATATGCATGAAGTAGTCTGTCATGCCAAGGAACCATTAGTTGAGGATACAACGAGTACGGAAATAAAAATGGTAAAAGAAATCTACAAGAAACATCTTCATGAAAGCAAAATGTTTGCCAACAAGAATCTGTTTGACAATATAGGCAAATAGTAGACGATAACGATACTATTCATGATCCAACAATTGATACCTATGTCTACGTGTTTTCATGGATCTGGTTTTTTTTTATGATTATCCAATCTTAAAATCAGTTTCTTAGGGGTAAGTAGAAGTCAACTGTATTTACCTGTCGAAAAGACTTGCTACTTCCTCACATTCACGTTTATTGTAGAACCAAATGCCATTTACTTCTTGAGCTGCATTACGGTAAAGTAAATATGGACCTTGGACTTCATACTCAAAATCCCCCAGAAGATCTTCCACCAGATTATCTGCCAAGACAAAATTCAACAATACACTGATGATTACTAATACTAACTCCTTAATCAAGATCTCAAAATAAATTCCTGGAGTTAATCGGTATTCGGTAAGAAATATCAATCAATTTTACTGAGGATCTAAACCCTGTCTAACCCAATCCTTTCGATTTAGATGAACTAAAACACCGACTACTCTCTCCTAACAAATCGAAAGTCATTGTTACAGATCGCTACTTCTGCTAGCAAATCATCGCAAAGGGAGTAAATGAATGTAACCAAATCACAGGAAAAATCAATGAGAACCAAGTATAAGAACAAATAAAAAACAATGACATTAACTCAAACAGCAATTTGATGCTTCTTCCCCTAAGAATCAACCAAAGAAAATAAAGGATGGAAAGACATATAGCTTACACAGAAAGAAAGAGTAGACACAAGACATCAGAAAAGGAACCTAAACCAGAACTGGGAAGAGAATCCTAACCTGTATTCCTACGATTCATCACAATAAACTGAAATCGAGGTTGTTGTTTATTTCTGAAATAAAAACAAAGTGGATCCATCAGATTTTAAACGATAAAAGTTCACATAGATAACATCACACATAGTTGAAGTCCTACAGTACTTACCTTTTGACAACAAACAAAGAACCTTCAACATCCTTACGACTCTGAATCAAAAAGAAAAAGGGCAGATCAGTAAGTAGCAAAGCAAACATCAAATTATGCATACACGTCTCTGAATAGATAAGGTACGATGGTTAATTGAAACTTACCCATTGACTGAGCTCAATGTTGAATTCGTAGAAGGTGACATGAGCAGCTGTGATAAGGATTTCCTCGATGAAGGGATCGATTCGCTGGAGAACTGTGAGATTGAGGAGCCTCGTACTGTTCTGGTCCAGATTTGGGATCAGCTTCGCGTTCTGTGACATCTTTTGCAAGCGAGGATCAGATGTGAGGGAATATCGATCCGATTTAGCGTTAATCGGATGAACCCTAGACTTCCGATTTATCAAAAGCTGAGATTTGGGGTTGGAAAAGAAAACGCAAGCTTTTGGAACGCACGAAAGCACTTCGTTTTAAGTTTTTTTTAATCAGTAATCTGAGAAAATCTAACAAAAAAAAATCACCAAATATTTTATTGTTTTTTATAATGATATAAAATACGATTTTCCTATGGTTTAAAAAATACATTAAGTTTCATAATTATTCCAGCTTAATATTTAGCTTCAGAATCGTACGTATTATACACACTAATCCAGCGTCTCTTATTTTATCTTTTTGTCTGTTGACATTTCTTGTTAATAGAAAAAAAAAGTCTGTTAAGTCGAAAACGTAAGATACAAGTACGGTTGTTAGATAGAAACTCTGTTTTTTAACCATATTTAGACAGAATCGAATTTATTTCCCTTCTTCTCTAAATATATCTCAAGAGAATACAGAGCACAATGCCGAAGTAAGTTTTTTTTTTGTTCACGAAGAGAATTATCTGCGGGTTGGTTCTTCTACTGAAGATGCACACATCTAATTCAAGATCACATAAGCTACAAAATCCACTAACCAAAATCACTGCAGTTTCTTTTAATCATTCAAACAAAATCTAAAGAAGAGCAACACAATTCTTACACTCTTTCAAAGATGTCTGAAACAAAAACAAAGGGCTTATAGCCACCATTAAAGCAGCTCCGAGAGCTCAGAAGATTCTTTGTGGTGGTCCCATGGTGCTCTTCAGGTACAAACACCTCACCTACAAGATTCACGAGGCAATTAGAACAATTTAAGATAAAGACTAAAAAAAGGAACAGTAAAGAATAAACGTGGACTCATCATCACATACATTTTGCCAGTTCTTCTTCAATAGAGAGACGAGGAAGTTAACACTCATCTGGACGTTCTGAAAGATCTGCTTCTCTTCCATGGAAAGGTTACCAACTGCAACTCCCATGCAGAGAACCTTCTTCAGCTGAAATTTGACTGTGGCCTTTGTTTCATTTACCTTGGACTCTAACGATTCTTGGTGGCTCACAAGCGTTGGGAACTTTCCTGTATCAAAAGATCATAATACGTTAAAACATGAGAATAGGCACTGAATCGAAAAGCACGTGGTAAGTCAAGACCAAGAGATTTTACAAAACACATTGCCACAAGACAAAGAATACCCATAACTTTTTTTTACTATGAAAATAAAAACATAAGGTTGAGGGACAACATGGAATAATTAGCTTGCCTGCTTTGTTGAGACCAGGACCAAGAAGACGAGGAATCTGCTTAATAACAGATTCAGAGGCCAAGAAAGCATGGTATTTCTTCGCAAGCTTTTTGACGAGCTTCTTGTTTTTGTTAAGCTTTTTTAGAGACTCCACATCCATATAGTCTAGCCCCATTTTGTCAGCCTGCCCAAGTAAAGAAAAATACAATAAGCAAAGATTTCAAAATAAAAGACAATAGCAATGTTAAGTGATGACCAATTTCGAAAGGGGAAAAAAGAGGCAGAGACTTCAATGTACATGAAACAAGACATAGGAATGACCCATTTCCAAAAAAAAAAAAGGAAGTCGAATCTACATTCAAAAGACGATACTTTGATCAAATTAGTACACAAGTGACAAGATTAATCACCTCCTCGACATGCTGGGCATCTCCGAGCATGCAGATCTTCATCTTAGGACGGGGTATGTGTGGCAACTTGACAGATCCACTGAAACGCTTGTCCTTTTGTGGGTCATAATTCTTCAGACCGATCTGGAGCTCAAGAGTCTCCACAAAGTTGCGTTTCTTTTCATCGGATTTCGCTCTGATAACAGTAATGGCTTCTCTAACGGCCTCACTCTGAAGCTTACTGTAGCCAACAAGACGGTTTCAAGCAAATTACATCAACAAATAGAAATAATCAATAGTGCCAGAAGTATATCTGAGCAAACCACATTTTATACAGTCTCAATTAAAATCATTTTATCTCAGTACACTTAAGTAACTAAACCTTCCCACGAGCAATTTACAGAGTTATTATCCAAATTAAAAGGCCCAAGCAGAGAGCATTAAGACAACGTCAGGACAACTTTGCGTCATTTCAGAGCCATTCACATATCAAACCTATCAATCAAACGCATATGTGCAACTTCTACACACGGGCAGGCATTCAAACGCAACAACGATTGATTTACAAAGAACATTTGGTCATAAACTTAATTAGATTGGAAAAATAAACCTAAACCAAATTGCATATGAGAGAAGTCAAGTTCAATTCCGAGAACTGGTTTAAGAGATGCATACCTCATTTTGAGCTTGTCTCAAAGATCTGATCCTGGAAACCAACAAACAAAAAATAAGCCGAAAGGAACGAATGAAAGCTAGAAGAGAAGCTCGGAAAATAAGTATCAAAATATAAACGAAGAAGAATCAAGCTAGAAGTGACGCAGTCATTGAAGCACAAACCTGGACGAATAGACGGAAAAAAGACCTAAATTTGTGAAGTGCCGAACAATTTATACTAAGGAAAGCGATAAACTAAACTAAACCTAAATAAATTGGGCCTTAGATGCAACCAAGATAATATCAAGTAAAGCCCAAATCGTCATGAACCAAAGCGAACTGAACCATATAAAAATTTAGAGAAGAATTAAATTGAATACATATGTAATATGGCGAGATTACATTTGACTAATTGAATCTTGCGAAATCGCCTAAGAATTCACCGTATCTTGTGGACTTTCTTTCTGATGATGGTCTAGTCAAAGCCACTAAACTCAGCTAAGGCCCAGACTAAGGTTTATTGCTTCTGCTGATTCTTCAGGTTTGACTTTGTGCTCCTACGACGTCGTGTTGTGTTTGTATCTGTTCTGCGTGGTTTTTTTGCTTGAACTGCTAGATTAGAAGATGTCTGTTTCTCGAGCTCCCTCTTGACTATTCATTCGAGGAAAGCAGCAGAGGAGTGCCAGTTCATGGCGCAATTTCTGCTCACTGTTCAAGTCCTACTCACATTGACGTTCTGGATCGGATCAGGCTCGTCGACCCGATTCAACGTCGGCGATCATGTCCCTTTGTTCGTCAACAAAGTTGGTCCTCTCCACAATCCAAGGTAATTTCTTAAATCTCTTTGTCTAGCTTCAAGCATTTGAACTCCTTTTCCCAGGAAAATCGTCTGCATTTCGTTTATTTGGCATACATATCTGGTAGATGGCTTTATATGGTGACGCATTTCATATGAAATCTGAGAGAAGAGGTCTTTGTTTATATGGGATTGTGTATAGTTACGGAGAGATCCAAGTAAGAGAATGTTCAAGATATGATTTTTGTTTTAGCTGAGCTTCACAAGGAACACAAAGATGGCCCATTTTCTGAGACCCGTTTTAATGATTAGTGTTTTGCTTTTTTTTTTGGCAGTGAGACCTATCAATATTATGATTTGCCGTTCTGCCGTCCAGGTTAGTTTCTCATCACAAACTCAATTCTCAGGTTTTCCTTTTAACATGATAAAGTGTATCCCTTTTTAATAGTTCTTTGGCTTCCGAAATGGGAAATTCATTTTTGCTTCGAAATGCGTATGTGCCCCAAGTGCAGTGGTTAATTCAAGATCCTTTTATATATTTTGTAGAGCCTGTGATTGAGAAACAGGAAACTCTTGGGGAAGTTCTTAATGGTGACCGGTTAATGAGCCCGTTATATGAGCTGAATTTTGGGGAGGATAAAACTCATGTTATGTTGTGCCACAAGAGATTGACACCGAGTGAAATTGCCAGGTTCAGAGATACTATTTCTCAAGATTTCTACTTTCAAATGTATTACGACGATCTTCCCTTGTGGGGATTTGTTGGAAAAGTAGAGGCGGATTATTCTCGTCATGGGGAGAAGAATACTAAGTATTATATATTCAGTCACTTAAAGTTTAATGTTCTGTACAATGCAGACGAAGTTATTGAAATCAATAGTTTTAGCGATCCGAGTTATCTGGTTGATATATCAGAGAACACTGAGATTGATGTTCAATTTACATACTCGGTTTCTTGGAATTTGACTTCAGAACGGTCTGAGACAAGAATGAATAAGTACTCCCTGGCGTCACTTCATCCTATTAGCAAGAAAATTCACTTTTTCTCATTTCTTAACTCCATAAGTGTTGCTATTTTGTTACTTGGACTTCTTTCTTGGCTCTTCATGCGCCACCTCAAGAATGAATTAAGAAGGTGACAATTTATCTTGGGAGATTTTTTTTGTGTGTGTAGGTTAGCATATATGATGGTAATATTTAACCTGTTGGAGTTGACTTCTCATGTATTTCAGTTCTTTGAATGGAGATGAAGAAGAAAAGAAGGAAGTGGGTTGGAAACTTATACAAAGTGATGTATTTAGATGTCCTCGGAACATATCCTTGCTTTGTGCGTTCTTAGGAACTGGTACTCAGTTTCTAATCTTGTAAGCTTCTTTTATCTATGATTCCATTATTGTCATTCTGTTTTCGATATTTTCTAGTTTATCCAATCCTTTCCATTTGTATACTCTAAGAAAGTTATACATAAAGTAATTTTATCACACTCGATTGCAGCGGCAAATTTTACATTTTCTAGTAAGAAACCCAGCTTTGTCATGGCATTTCGTTAACTGCACTTGCATACATAAATACTTGCATAGTTATTGGCAGTTCTTTTCAAGTTAATTATACACGATGCATTCCAGTTTATATATTTATTGGGACTAAAGTCCAGTCACAATATGAATGGTATGCAGTGGCATTTGATGATTTGAAACACCTGTCTTCTTAATTGTTCCATGTATCTGACTTGTTTCTCGTCTTCAGGATTATTGCTCTATTTGCATTGGCCTTCACCGGTTTTCTGTACCCATACAATCGTGGAATGCTTGTGGCTTCTCTTGTTATCTTGTATACTCTAACTTCAGTAGTGGCTGGTTACACATCTGCTTCTTTACATGGCCATTTCGAGGGAACCAAAAAAGTAATTGACTTTTCAAGTGCCTTCTACATTCTCTGTTCTCGAATGATTCATTGTTTGTATAAAGTTAAACATTTGACCATTATTGCCTTTTTCAGAAAAGGAGTGTTCGTCTGGCTGGCATCCTCTACCCGGTTCCTTTCTTCATTATAGTTTCGATTCTCAACACTGTGGCAATTACATATGGGGCAACTGCGGCTCTCCCCTTTGGCACAATAGTCATCATCATACTCATTTACACTCTTTTGAATATCCCATTTCTCATGTTGGGAGGAGTTTTAGGTAACCGTTTCGGATTATTGGAGTTTCAACCTCCATCCGCTATTAAAAGAAACCCCCGAGAAATCCCACCACAGAATTGGTATCGGAGGAAGGTGTACCAGATGTTTCTTGGAGGCCTTGTACCTTTCAGTGCAGTTGTCCTTGAGTGGCACCAACTCTATGCAAGCTTGTGGGGGTTCAAAATATATACCTCGCCTGGAATAATGCTTTTCACATTCGTTGTGCTCATCTTATTGAGTGCGAGTGTTGGTATTATCTTGACCTACATTCAGCTATCCGGTGAGGATCATGAATGGTGGTGGAGGTATGTATTCTTATACGGTACTGTATTCTTTTCCATTCAAATATGTGAATTGGATTTAGACTAGGTATGATGAGAAGCCATCACAGATACACGATAAGTTGAGTATCTAGATTCAAACGGTCATAGTATGCAGTCATAGAAGGAAATGTGAAACATGATTGGCTTAGAATGTTTTCCTTTCAGAATCATCAATTGGTGGTTTCCAAAGGGGCATACTAAAATTGTAGATGATACTATGATAATTGTTTTGCAGATCAATATTGTGCGGAGGATTCACGGCGATCTTCATGTATGGGTATGGAGTATTGTTCTATCTGAGGTCTGACATGACCGGGTTTCTGCAGTTGAGCTTCTACTTGGGATACACTGCTTTGTTATGTTACGCTCTCTTCTTGGTTCTTGGAACCATAAGTTTCTTGGCTTCTTGGATGTTTATACGCCACATCTATCGTTCTGTCAAGCTCGAATAAATCCCAAGAACTAAGTGGTCCTCGTTCTTTCACGTGAAATATTAGAGACCATCTGTATCATTTTGGTATTTGTTTAGATTACCAGAAATATTAGAGACCATCTGTATCATTTTGGTTTGACACATCAATAACAATACTGGGTTTGTTGCAATGAACAGCTTAGAATCAGGCTAAAAGGTTGGTATGAGTTTGTTGTCTCTTTCATGTTTCTATGAAGGAATGAAAAATGATCTTACTAGAAGTAGAAAGAAAGGTACATTTTTCTTTTTATCCCATAGAGTTAGTCTCGGATCATATCACCCCTTCAACAACAAACTACATTACTTAGAAGTTAAATATGCAATAAAATAAAACAATCCAAACACACAATATACTAAGAATAAAATATCCCCCATCAATTTCACTTGCTTCCTATGTGGCTCGGTTTGCAAATGGGTGGCTGCACAACTCCATCATCTCCTTTTGAATCCGAAGCACTAGATCCCTCAATCTCACTCTTCACGCTTCCTGACTTGTGTTCAACAGCAACAACTCTTATTCTCTCTGAACCATCTTCTTCATCTTCCTCCTCTTCTTCTTCATTGTCGTCATATTCTGCTTCATGGCTGCATCTTGTATCAGCCTGGGAAGACGTGGCTTCCCTTTCTCTCAGAGTTTTCTCTGTGAGGCTCTTCAGCAACTTCATCACTTGGACCGCATACATCAATGCAGTTAGAGGGTCTGCCATCTAGACACAAAATCCAAAACAGAGCCAACACAATGACAAGACGATTAACACTATTTCAGATATCTGCCAACTAGCTCTCTTATATGTACAGTGCTCTGGGACTTATAAGTAACAGAGGCTTATCAAGTATCATTTCTAGTGTTGATCAGTGATTACTTGGGAAAGAGAAAATTTAAAAAAAAAAAAAAAAAAAAAACTGACCTGAGACATGTTGGGGGCAAAGACTAAGGCAAGGTTACGAGAGTTCATCTTGTTAACATGTTCAAACTGAACAACATCAGCCATGAGATTGATGGCCCAGTTGAGAAGAGAAGCTTCTGTTTGAGGTAAGAGCCTCACAACCTTAACAAAATCCTCGTCTGACTCACATTGCATCACTTGCTCCGATGGCAGAGGATCCAGTACACCTCTCGGTAGCTCTCTGAACCAAGCCTGAACATACATGCAAGCATGCATCAATCATCAAAAATTCAGGTGCCATTTCAATATAACAAAAACCAAGTTAAATTGAGAAGAAGAAGAAAGAACCTTTATAAGTCCGGCTAGACAGTGGACATCGATCCCATCAGGTATCATGCCTTTGTTTAGCTGCTCCCTTACAGACTCTTCCTCGCTGTTCTCTCCTGTTATTCTGAATATTCCTTCTACCTGAGACACATGCATGCATACGATTTTTTTTCAACAGTTTTTGGGATCACAAATCGGAACAAAATGGGGTTTGATTCACTCACCTCCAAGCCTCCTTGATCATAAAGCCTGCTCTGCAATAGCAAAAGTATCACAGGAACACAATTGCCTCTCGAATCGTAAGATAACTGCATGGACTCCGTCGATACCCCAAACACTGTTGCACTGCAGGTGAATCCAATCAAAAAAAAAACAAAAAAAAATTAAATCCATATGATATGAAAATATGAAATTTAAACAAATTTTTGCATCTGATCCAATAAACTTTGAAAAGTCCATTTACAAAATAGACTGATGAAACCAAGAAAGGGAATCCATTCTTTCTACCTTGCACTGGGAGCTTTTCTGGGGACATCGGGCTCGAACTCGGAAGGGAGGCCAAGGAAGCCATTGAAGCGATCAAAGGTCACGTGAGCCACGTGTCGGACATTGGTTGGACCACCAATGTCCATGGCTCGTCGGTCGTTTGCTTCCTCCACCGCCGTCGAGAAACAACGAGAAAGCTCCAGGACGACTCGACCCACCGACGACGCGGAGCCGCCGAACCGCCAAAGTTCGAGCTTGCGGCGCCTTCTCACTCTCTCTATCTCTCCTCACACAATCGCTGAATCTTCTCGCTCTTTCCTCCTCCAGAAGAAAAAACAGAGAAAGAAAAAAGTTGGGAACTTTTGGGCAAAGATTGATGATGTAACAAAAATAGAAGAGGTATTGGGTTAAGGAATCGTCATGGCCGGCAGCGAACTTGGTTACTTAACAAATTATTAAAAAGAAAAAAGTTGGCAATTTACACGTTACAAAGAATGTTGCAGAGATTGAGTGGCGATGAAGAAAAAAGGTTAGGAGGAAGGTGGAACGTGGGAATCACTACGTTTATTTTGATTTCTAAGTCTCTCTTTATAATAACATCTGTCTCAATTGAAATAAAATATAAAAAAAAAACCATTAGAGTGGGTTTTACTCTTCCTAATTGATAACATCTGTCTTTTATACTGTATTTTTGATTTTGGTGCTTAGGTGATCTATCTAATTAAATTTATGAAATCTCGTAAATGAATTTTATCCACACAAAAGAAATATCGTAAAGGATAGAACGTAACTTTCTGTATTTTTTTTTTTTTTAACAACTATCTTTATTTATATCAAATCAAAATACATGCAACATACATAAAATACAAACAATACAACATAACAAAACATGAAAATAAAATATGACAAATTTTCTCTGAGGATTTTCCCTCAAATAAAGTATCCATCCTTCATTCCTCGGATTCGCATTCAGTCTAATGCGATATTCAGTTATGGCTATTATCCATTGTTTTCCATGTTGTATTACATTGACCAATTCCCATTTAGGAACTAAAGATATTTGAACAATAAGAATCCAATTTACTGATTCTTCTGATCGAAATAAAATATGAGACTGCCAATTTTCAACGATTGTACGAATGTTGTCATACAACAAAGATGCATCTGCTCCAAATCGTTTTAATTTCCATGGTGGTTTCCATAGAAATAAACCCTTATTCATCAAAGCAAAATCCTCAGAAAAAATCAAACTAGAAACTCTAGAACTATACCTTTTTCCGGGATCCCATATTCTCCGACCCAAAGACCAATTGCCTAAATCATAAGCTTGTGGTAAAAGGTAACAGAGAAGTCGTTCATCGTCGTGGATTTCAAAATGCACGACGGAGATAAACTGATGGAATCGAAAATAAACTCTACATGAGAGAGAGAAAACGGTTACCCGAAACCAACCACGCTTGAAGGAAACGAGAGTGGATAAGCGGTAAACTTCGACACAAAGGATCGTTGTAGATACGGTCAATGGTGCTAACGTAATCACCATCAACTTCATGAGTAAGATTAAACAAATAAGAACACTGTAGATGAATGAATCCCAATCCACCGTGTGATACGAAAGATTAACCAAACTCATCGTCAAAACCCGTCACGTTAAGACCACTGATCAACCAAAACCACCGCCTGGAATCACCAAAAAGTTTGAAGAACGAAAGAAGCCGTTGAAGATAAGATACAACTGCTTTGTTTATCCCAAAATCGTTAAATGGATTGCCTTTCAAATTGTATCACTAACTGCAATGACTAAAGAGAAGAAGAGAGATTAGTTAGAAGATTAGAGAACCACCGGCATTTGCCGGCAGCCTCGAAAAAACCAGAGACGAAGACGGTTTCTTATATCGCCTTTGGTGTCGCACTTTTTCTCTTTTGTCTTTTGTCTTTTCTTAGTTTTTTTTTAATGTAAAAAAGTGAAACAGTGTCCTACTTTCTGTAGTTTCTATATCTCGAGTATTAAATCACAAAATACGTGAGCAATTTCACTATAAGAATAATAATTATGAATGAATGTGTGATACTCTTATCTTTTATCTTTTTGCCATTATTTACATTTACTATCGGTAGGTCATTTATCTTTTTGCCATTGATGCAGTTAGGCCCACCGATCCTAACTAGTATTGGGCTTAAAGTAACCCAAACAAAATGTAGCCCATACATATATAATTGTATCAGAATCAGAAAAAATAATACACGTTAAGAACTTGAGACCAATTCCAAAGTACTACCACTACACCACATAAAATTATAATACGATTTAGGGTATAAATGTTATATGATTTTTAGGCCTAAAACACTAGTTTACTAAATACATGGATAATAATAATAATAATAATAATGTTTTTGGGAATATATATTGATAATTTCTCTATAAGATAAAATTCTAGTATTTAAAAGTGAATACACAATTCAATTATTGGGACTCTTAAGATGACAAATTTTATGATATCAGTGATTTCATAATATGTATATATATATATATATATATTATAATTTATTGAGAATAAACATAGATGTAAAGCCGCAACAGCTTATGTACTGCATTTAATAAAATATATAAATCACATTTAAAGAATGTATGTCTATAGTCAAAAATAAATTACATGAGTGATTAAATAGCTAACGATTATATAAAAATATTAAACGATAATTAAGATTTTATAGTATTAAATTACTGTCGGGGAAATTAATGTTGTCAACTACGAAATGTATACGCAAACATCCAAATGGGATTTGTGATACTTGAGGTGAGTTTTATAATCCAGACATATTTCAATATACAAACTGATACTATTGAATTCATAAACTTCAATGTGAAGTATACTTCTAAAAAGAGCATTAAATAGCCGTCAAAAAAGAAAAAAAGCATTTAAAGAATCTCATTTTGAGTGATTTATAATGCCGCAAATTAAAGAAGAAAGCAATGACAAATTTAGATTTGCAAGAGCTCATTGACTAAATTAGCTATATGCGAATCAAAGGAGACATACAACAATTTCTAATAGAGGAAAGGAATCTGAAATGTGGCATTAGGATTTAGGTGATGACAGGGAGGGGATGTTGACCCATCAACAAAATTAAGGATAATACCAAACAAATCCAATTAAATAACACTTTGATTGAGATGTTTATATAATTATTGATATTTTCAAATATTTATTTACGAATGCAAGAAGGCCGTTTAGTGTTATCTTATAGGTATACATAATTGTCATTATTTTAATGGGAATTTTGGTTGAACTGGTAGAAGAAAAATAATTTATAAATTCAACTTATGTATGGTAGGTTAACCGACTAGAGTAGTTGTTCTATTTCTATTATATCCAAATTTGAAATTTGGATACAAAGCTATTTGTTCACAAACGAAAACAAAACAATAAATACGCTTTCAGAAATTGTCACATATGTTCTCAAAACCTAGAAGACTATGGGTTGATAAGATGAACTAAAAAAAATATTCGTTAAGTATATATGTATATACATATAATATTCATACTATTGTTATCCCCTTTCCTATCCGAAAGGTCATTTAAGAAATTGAGCTACGGTTTGGACATAGAAACTCACTCGATTCTGCTATTTTAATATACACATCAACAAACATTCCTTATCCCACAAATATTACATTGTCGTTCTCTTTACAAAGATATAAATTATTACTAACTATATGAATTTTTGAAAAACATTATATGATCTCTCATTGTGTATAAATAACAATATCAATAGATCATCCGAATAAAATAACTTAGATCATCTAGCTGGGGGAGTTGTATTCCTTTAATCATTATAACCAGAGTATGCCTACTAGCTAAACTAAAATTTGATATCATATTTTAAAATATATATATATATAACCTATGTTGTATTGATATTTTTTTAAGAAAGCATGCTGTATTTTTCATGCCCATTCAAAGGTTATTGATATTATGCGAGAACTTTTCGTGTTTAATTTTATTTTGTTGGTTCTAGATTACAGCACACAAACTACTTAAAAAGACAACTCATGAAACATGCGGCTAAGATGGTAAAATAAACTTTTTTCACAAATATACCATACTGCTTTCACATATACAAAAACGCAGTTATATATGCATCAGTATGAATTATAGTAGAAATGATAGATTATTAAAAAAAAAAAATGTGTGCTTGAGTAAGCCCAAAAAGAGATTTGATGAAAAGGAGCCAATAAGCACAAACAGGCGGTTACAAAGAGAGAGAGAGATTGTGGAGTAGGAGTCAGTGATTCTAGTGGGTTCCTCCTCTTTTTCTGCTCTCTTTCTATTTCATTTACTAAAATACAAATTCTCATTTAATTCTCTTCTCTTCCCTTTTTTCTTCTTCTACCTCGATATTTCTAAAAACTACCTCAATTTCATTTTATGTTCGGTCCAATTAATCTAATCTCCAATCTGCTACATTGGATAAAGCTCTTTTTCTTTGACAAGGATAATTAAAGCTTCTTCGCTCTTATATTTTCTGTTTTCTATTTAACTTATATGTTTCTGTTTGTGGGTATGTTAAGAGATATAAATCGTCTGTCTGATCAAAATTGCAAAATACTAGCTTTGACCTTGACAGCTATAAAGTTGGTCAAATAAAATTTCAATTTTGTTGTACAACTTTTTCAAACCCAATATTATTCAGAAAAGAAAAATAATACTGTAGCAAGTAAAACACACACAACACAAAAATATAGCCTCGAGACAAAGTCTGGGAAGGACAAGATCTTCGTGTGATTTACCATGAAATATTCTTATTTTTTAAATACATAAAAATTTCGAAATCTAGCAAAAGCATTTTTTATTTACGGTGAAACTAGATAGAGAAAGAGTGAAAAGGGGAGACTGATGAATCACACAATTAAAGGTTTCTTCACAAACAAGTAGAGAGAGAAAGAGTAATAATACTATACAATATTTATTATCATTTCCTTCTCTAACTATATATATATATACATATATACGCCCACATAATTGTATATATGTATCTTTGAAAGAGAAAAGATTGGACCCTCTTTGTTTTTCTGTTCAGCCATAAAAAAGCCTTTGACGAGAAAGTTTGCTTCCTACTTTCTCTCTCTCGTTCTCTCTCCTCTTTGTTCTCAAACACCCAAAGCAAATAGAAAACTTCACAAAAGGTAATAAAATAAACACATTATTTATCTTACTTTCATGTTCATCATCAACTAGCTTTTTTTCAGATTCCAATCATTTGATCAACTTGATCAAGAATTAATTAAGACTTGCAATCTCTCTCTCTCTCCTTCTCCACTCTCTCTTTCTTGTGTTCTTGTAAACTCAAGTTTCTATAGTGATTCCCCTTTTCCTTCTTGCCTTCGTCTTTTCAAGGCTCTAATTTTTTACAGAAAAGAGTTTACGAAGAAGAAGATAGAAGTAGAAGGGAAGATCACGAAAGAGGAAGATATCATCATCCATCAGAGTTGATATTTTGGGGGAGATGGCTAACCATAGAGTCATCAG